GAAATAGGGGTTATTTTTTTAAAAATAGATATTTTAGAACTAGGCTGGCTATATTAGTATCATACAAAGAAGCTTTCAGGAAAAAGGACAATTATTAGAGATAAACTGGTTTATTACCTAATAACACTGGTGAATTAATAGCAGTGGATTTTCCACACATACAAAACAATCCTAAATATGAATGCTTCGAATGATAGAGCTTCAAAATAGATGAAACAAGAATTGATAGAGATTTTTTAAAATAACCTGTGGTGATAAGCAAACTGAAAATTGGGAAGAATACAGTCTTGTACAATATGATTTGAGCAATTTGAACTAGTTGATATTTATAGGACATCCAACCCCCCCAGCAGAATACGTACTCTTTGTGAGTGCACATAGAAAATGCACACATTCAGGAGCCGGGGATTTAGCTTAGCAGTTCGGTGGCCTGCCTTTCAAGCGCAAGGACAGGAGTTCAATCCCTGGTACCAAAAAAAAAAAAGAAAGAAAGCGCACACATTCACAAAGATAGAGCATATTCTGAGTTCTTACTAAATTTAAAAGAATCAAAAAAGTTTATTCTCTGCCCACTACAAGTTAAAGAATTTAATAACATATCTGAAAAATACCTTGGAAGAATTGTGTTTGAAACTCAACACTGTACCACCAAATGACAGTATCTACACAAAGGATCAGAGCACTGTTCTAGAGATAGAACCAAGGCCCATGGGGGCCGTGGTTAGGTTCCTCCTTAATGCAGCAGGCCTGAGGGGCACGGCAGCCTTCTTGAGACCCCTGTTGGTCCATGCTGGACACAGTGGATGCAGAAATGACAAGATGAGGCCACTGCCCCTGTGGGGTGACAGGCAGTTAAGCACACACAACGGGAAGATGAAGTCTGCTAGTGACAGGAGAGAAATAAACTCACAGCCCGCTAGATGTCAGATGTGCTGAGTTCGTGTCCCCTGAAATGGAAGAATGAATTCCAAGAAAGAATGTCAGTTAAGAGTAGGAAGGCTTATTAAAAGATAGCTCCTTTGAATAAATCTTAAAGGTAACTTCCCTGACAAAGAACTGCCACTGGGTTGAAATTCACCTGCCTTGCTATCATGTTTTGGGTATGAGTAATGTGAGCTGTGAAAATGCAGTGTAACCAACTGAGCTGTAAAACCCTATAAAAGAAGGAGTCATAACCCAATGGGAGAGTCAATCAGGGCACCACCATTAGGTGTCATAAATCCCCATCGATGGAGTAAACTTTTTTATTTTACTTCCAAAAAAAAAAAGGAGATAGCTCCTGAGAGACAGGAGGAGTCCTGAGTGGGTGGCCACCGAGGTCTCTAGTCAGAGGTAATTTATACAGCAAAGTCACAATGTGGGTACAATGTGGGTCAAACTCTTGTCAACAATAAGATTACAAGTATAGCTGCTTAATTAATAGTGACCAAATAGGGAAGGGAGGCAGGTAGCAAGGGTATGTTGCTGACACCATTAACCTTGGCTTATCTCTGACTTCTAAAACAGAAACATTTTTGGGAAGGGATTGGTCCAGATGCTCTGGTCACCCACCCACCTGAGCATCCGATGCCTGTCTGGCCTTAGTGGTCCAAGTGGTACTAATTACAATATAACCTCAAGTTACTGTTTATCTTTTAGGGAAGCATATAGGCCTAGCCACTGCATCTTTATCTTGGGCCTAACCTTTTTCACAGGCACCCACAGCCACAATTCTGATGCCTTTATTTTTTCTGCTGACTTCCTTGAGAGCCCAGTCCTTCTCTGGCTGTATATTAATTTCTGTCTAACCTATAAAACTAGCTGCCTATAAAACTAGGAGCATTACAATGTACTTATGGATCAAAGGGTCAAGAGGCTGGAGTACAACTCAGCATTTTCTTTTCTTTTTTTTTGGTACCAGGGATCAAATTTAGGACCTTGCACTTACAAGGCAGGCACCAGAACCACTGAGCTAAATCCCCAGCCCTTGATGCATTTTCTTATCAGAGCAGAGTTCAAGGGCTCATTTCATGGCACAATAGCTCACTGGTCTCCATCGTGTCTGGATTTGACCAAAGTGTACATTCTTCCTCAAGTGGGAAAACTGATAACACCAGCAACAAAGGAATAAAAACAGCAGCTGACACTCTTACAGGCATGTAGGCAGCAACCACTGAACTGAGTACTCTCTGAGGATTGTCCCACAGCCACGCTGGGAGGTAGAGATGGAGGGTTGTCTCGTGGAGTCTTCCCTGACCAGGCTGGCAGGTGTAGATGGTGCACTGTCTCATGGAACCTTTGTAGTCCTGCTGGGAAGCACATGTACTGCAGTTTTTCTCATTTTACACTAAAATTGAACCTCCAGAGGTTTTTGGTTTTGCCCCAAAGCATGTTGCTAGCATGAGGCCTTAAACTCAGCCCTGGAGGCCCCAGCGCTAATCATTAGCTGCTCTGTTGCTCTGAGCCCAGGGAGGAAGACCTCTTGGTTATCACACTCCTGAGGACAGGATCTGTGGAAATGAATGCTTATACATTATATTTTTCACAATGAATCCTTGAGCTAGGAAAGTATGTTAAGGAAGTGGAAGGAATTTGGAGAAGAGTATTTCTTAGACAGAATCTTCTCCTTAAATAACTAATAAGAGCAATGATAGTTTAGTTTTCTCTGATCAAAAGTCGTTTTCCCATGAAGTTAAGTTGTGTGAAGTGCATTTTGTGACTGTGCAGGTTCCTGGGTCTGCAGCATTTGCCTTCTGGAAGTGTACCTCTGTGTTTGTGCTCTAGCAGACCAGCCTGCCGCTTTCTCCTTCTGGGGCAGCTGTGGGTGGGGACTCAGTCTCTTGGAGACACTCAGTAAGGAGGACATGGAATTGCTGCTCCCCGGTCTAAGAAATGCTCACAGTTAACAGTTTAACCCCCTTGTCATTTGGAGAGGAGAAATTGAGAGGTCAGTTGGCTTTAGCCAATCCTCAGTAGATTAAGCAACCTTCACCTTGAATGTTTGTGCTTTATAGATGTCACTTTGTAAGGACTTTGGCCCTTGAAGCCTTCTTTATTTACCCAGGTCTTTATTCTCTTCTCAAGCTTTCCACAGGTCGAGTATAACACATACCCCAGAACCCCTACGCCTAAAGTGGGTGCCAAGTGCAGTGGATAAGGGAACATATCAAAGAGGCCACCAAAAGCAGGCATGGTGACACGTATCTGTGATCTTAGCAGTGTGGGAGGCTGAGGCAGGAGGATGGCAATTTAGTGAAACTCTGTGTTAAAGTAAAAAAAGGACATGAATGTAGCTCAGTGTAAAGGCCCTGGATTTAATCCCCAGTACCATCGCCCATCACACCACACACACACACACACAGAGCCATCAAGGCCTCCTACCACAGAGCGGAATGACTTATCACCCAGCTTTGGCCCAGCCTACCTGGGACAAGGGTGCGACTTCTATGAAGCTTGGCAGTGTAGACAGTGCCCAGCCCACCACCCACTTCTTGGGTCACCTGTTGTGAGGCTGCTGTTGTGATCTCTTGCTTCTCTCAGCCCATGTAGCTGGCCACAGAGAATGCCTCTGTGAAAAGGTCTGGGGGAACCAGGGGCCCTTCACTCATTTGCATTACTGACAAGGGAGAAGCTGAGAAAGAAGATGCAGAATACTAGGAAAGGCTGGGGAAGAAAGGGAGACCGAAAAAGGAAAGAAATAGCTGGTGAAAGATCTTGGCTGCCTGCCTGACCCAGTGATGGGTGACTGCTATTTTGGGTCACCTTATCACACACTGGCACTGCCCGGTACAGCTGCAGGGCTTACTGTGGGGTGTGCACATGACCATAGGAACACATACATGTGGAAAGGCATGCACACATGAACAGTACAGCCTGCTCTTGATATAAGGAGAGCTCCACCTCCTTGTGTTGTTGACAAGATTGCATTTCCCATGAGGAAATGGGAAGAATGAGTGTGCATTGCTTCATTCCTCCTGAGATGTTGACCTGGGGCCTGGACCCTTCTTTGCTGCTGTTTAAAGCATTTCTTGTGACTCAGATGGAGAACCTAAGTATCTGGCATGAGGAGTTCACAGAACCATATCTTGTGCTAGGTGTCAGGTGCTGGAGCTGCCTCAGCCTTCAGCAGCCACCACTCTGCCCCCGGTGTAAAAGCAGGGATAGGGATGGGGCTGTAGCTCAATGCTCAAGAGAAGCACTTTCTACCATGTGCAAGGCTACTTTAGGCCCTGGGCATAAAATAAATCTGGGGATGGACATTTCTCTCCCTGTACTCGTAACCTTGACAGAATTGCTCAGAATATGTTCTTGACTAAGGTAGTAAGTTCAGAGGATGTGATTGGTCAAAGCATGAAGAAATAATCAAAGGAGAACAGAAAAACATTTGCTTTTTAAGGAAAAACAGCAGAGGATATGCGGATGCTATAAAACTCCCATGGAGAGATAAGATGAGAAATACAGACTGCATTAAACACGTAGCCATCAAGTACCATCCATGTGCCAGGCACTTACTGGGTCCTCTGGACAAGGAATAAAACATAAAACGATATTGTAAACAGTGCCACTCTCCACAGAGAGGAGGTTGTTCTTGCCCTTGGTAAGTGATTAGAGGACAACAATGTGTCTTGTGCCTCTGAACACATCAGGAGTTGGGAAGTGTGTGCTGGTCTCAAAGGACAGGATTCTATTACAGAATTCTTACCTATTGTGTGTGTTTTCAGTTCCTTTCAGAAAGGGTACCCTGGGAGGAAGTTAGCTTTAAGATGCACATTGACTTTAGACAGGCAGTTGTGTTTCATTCTGTGGTTCAGACTAGAGATACATAATCCCTTTGATGCATCTTCAGAAAGAAAACAAAGCCCCTTAATGAAAAGCAATGCTCTAGCCAGAGAGGCCCCCAGACTGCCTGTCCCCTGCCCTGCCACTGTGACCCAAAGTACAGTGTTCCCTGTATGGGAGAACCAAAGGGGGAGGTTGGAGGGGTGGGGCTGGCTTGCATAACCTCCTGCCTTTACCCACAGAGAAGGGTCTGCCTGCAGCAGCAACAGGTCCTGAAGACCATGGGCAGCCCACGCCACCCTGGATCACCATGGCACGGCAAAAGCGGCGTGGGGGCCCAGACCAGCTGTCAAGCCAGGAAGACAAGCCTGGAACTCGGACCCTGAAGTCAGAAACAGGAAAGCAAGCCAAGACACCAGAGAGACCCCAGGTGCTACGAGCAGACACTTGACGTTCCTGAGGGGCAGGAGGGGCAGTGGACCAGGCCAGGAATGGGGCTGGGGTCCTCAAGATGACCACATATCGTGGCTGCTGGTGTGTGGCTGAGCTCAGTGAAGCAAACACAGTTTTGTGCCAGATGATAGGCTCCATGGTAGAGCCACCTGCCTGCCCTTTGCTAGGCTTGTTAGGGATGCAGAGAAGCACGGAATAGCTTAGTGGAGACAGCTCTCTACTCCTTGCCTCCTAGGCAACACAGCTCAACATCTGGAAAAATGGAATGAGGTTAAAATAACTTCTTGATCAGACGCATAGCAGCAGTGCTGGCACCTCTCCCTCAGCTCACTATGCAGTGATCAGTGAGCCCCACTTGCACCTCTGGTGCTGGCCACCTGCTGGGGCTGTGTGGCAGTAAGCTGGAGTTCCTTTTTACCCTCTGCATTGTAAATAGCTTCCACCAACACAGACAACTAGAAGCAAGCCAATCTACAGTTTTTCGATCCCCTTAGTAGCCACAGTAATAAGGTGCCAAGTCCAGAAGAGTGTTTCAGCCCTGTCAGAAAAGCCCAAGCCTACACTTGCTTCTCTCTTTTTAACTACAGCTCAGTCACATCCAGATCTGAAGACTCATGTGCAGGCTGGGGAATTTGTAAATGAAGTGTTAATCCATTCAGAGCATATGTTATCAGGCCAAGTGTCATAAAAGTAATGAAACCATTTCCAAACCCAGTTCATTTTGACTGTCATGTGGAATCCCTGTCATCCAGCATCTGGGACTAAGGCCTAAGTTGGGGGACAGGGAAACCACAATGCACATATGGACTGGGGTCAGGCTGCATACTGGTCAGAGCTTCAGCATTCTGCTGCTGGATGTCAGTGAGGGGATATGCCAGAGCTCACTCAGAAAGTGCCACCAGCACAGGTCATCTTGGGAGAGGTCCCTTGTGACTCATGCACCTGGGTTGTGTTTATCTTTCTCCAAGTCTGTGAGGCTGACAATATGTGTCTTTCTTGTGTCCTCACAGGAGCCTGTGAGGCAGACTGACTTTGTCCGCAGCAAGTCTTTCCTGATGACCCCTGCTAAGCCCACGGTGACCCAGAAGCAGGGGGCCAAGCTGAGCCTCAAGGAGGGGCTGCAAAGGGGAATCTCCCTGTCACATCAGAACTTGGGTATGAGATCGGCCTGTGTTACCAAGCACTGTGGACTCATGGTCCTGGATGGTTCCTGCAGTCTTGGTTTGTTTATTTGTTTGTTTGTTTGTTTGTTTTTTTTTTTTTGAGATAGGGTCTCACTATGTAGTCCAGGCTGGCCTTGAACTTCTTATGTAGACCAGGCTGGTCTCAAACTTGTGGCAGTTCTCCTGCCTGAAGCCTCCCAAGTGCTGGGAGTAATGGGCACCCCCAGACCTGGCTGTTTTTTGTGTTGTTGTTTGGAGTTTTTGTTGTTGTTTGTTTTGCTGAATTACTTGCCCCATGGAGTTTTTCCTGCAGTGTTTATTGAGATGTAATTCACACACCATAAAACCTGTCTGAGTAAGTGTGTATTCAGTGAGGATGTAGTTCCAATGAGTGTCTTATCTACAGAGTGTGCCACCCTTGGCCAACCTAAGTGTAGAACATTTCCTTCACACTCAAAAGAGACCTCGGCCGGGATTTAGCTCAGTGATTCCGCAGCCTGCCTCTCAAGCATAAGGTCCTGAGTTCGATCCCCGGTACCAAAAAACAAACAAAACAAAAACAAAAAAACAACATCTCAAAAGAAACCTCACACCCCCTTGATAACAATCTCTATTCCCATCCCTAGCTCTAGGCAACCACTAGTCTACTTTCTGTCTTTATAGATTTGCATTTTTGGAACATTTCTTATAAATGAAATCATAACATATCTGCTCTCTAATGTCTAGCTTCTTTAGCTGAGCATAATGTTTCTGAGGTTCATCTCTTGTTGCATGTATCAGCATTTTTTTTAATGTGCTTGTGATCGAGCCCAGGGTCTCAGACATGCTAAGCACATGCTCTGCTACATCCCCAGCCCTTTCTTGTTTTGTGTTGTTGTTGTTGTTGTTGTTGCTGTTGGGGATTGAAATCAGGGACTCAGGCCTCTACACATGTACTCTTCTAATGAGCTATACCCCAACCCTTACATTTCTTGAATTTTATTTATTTTTCATTGGGGTAAAAGGCACACAACAAGGAATTTACCTTTTTATCCATTTTAAGTGGATGTTTGAGTAGTATTAATTTCATTCACTTGTTGCATAACCTACCCCCGACATTCCTGCAGTTCCTCCCTATTTCTTACTCTATGAACTGCCAAAACTGTTTAAGCTGCTCTTACACCTCTTATCGCATAAATTATATATTCTCTGCCTAAGTGTTCGTGACACATTTACATACTAATGAAGTTTCTGTTGGGGAACACAGGTAAGACCTTGACACATATTTAGAGAAGTGCAAGGGGCTTTCGTGAACATCCACACTCCTGTCTGGTGTTTCTTCTTGTCCCCCCTGCAGCAGCTCAGGCTGCGGCGATGACAGAGAAGGAGTTGCATCAGCTGAAGAGAGCCAGTTATGCCAGTGCAGATCAGCCCTCCTGGATGGAACTCGCCAGAAAGAAATCTCAAGCTTGGAGTGACATGCCCCAAATCATAAAATAAATTGGCAGCCCACCAACGAAGAATGTCCACTCCCTTGACAGGCCGCTTAGTTTAAAACTGCCAATAAATCACTGCAAACAGACTGTGCAACTTAAGATTGATTTTTGTCACCAAGTTATGACAAGCTCCAGAAAGGCAAAGGAACCAAGCAAAACAAAGAGAAAAAACAGCCATAATCCTGGACCAGCGGGGCCCCAAACAAAAACCACAATGAAAAAAAATCCAGGAATGAATTCCTGTACCCAGGGGCATGAATGAGAGTCTTTTAGAATTCCCTGGGTAAAGAGGCTGCAGACAAGGCAGAAAACAAATGAAATGTGGATTTATAAATCAGACACCCTGAAAGCCCAACACTGAAGCCATCCCAGGAGCGCTCATGTTTGCGCTTCCTGTGTGTCTAGCCACTGTCTTGCCTGTCTTCTCCTTTCGTGTTTACTACTAGGCATGACATTTATGGTGAAACAGGGATGTGTTTCTAAGAGCAGCTACATGACAGTCTGATTTCCTGAAGATAGCCACTGTAAGGAGAAGAGGAAGGAACATAGCAGGGTTTGTCAATCCATAGACTTTCCAAGATTAATTTTTAAACTTTTCCACTTGGCATCTGTGTCCTTAACCATTTGCACAATGCATTGCCTGTTTAATAAAAGGTTTCAAACATGCTTTGGTTGTGCATGCAAATGTTATTTCTGCTCACAGAGAGCATCCTGCAACACGAGGTTAAAGGTGGAATCTGGAGTTTCCCTTCATATGGACCCCATTTAAACTCCCAATTGATTTGGCTGGGGAATTTCAATTTTTTGAGCCTCTCTCCCTCCAATTTTTTGATGTTCCGTTGTGGAAGGCAGAAGATAAAAGGTTTTTTTATGTATATGATACAGCATAGTAAAAATATAAAATTTCTTAAAAGATGTCATTCTTTAGCACCTGATTCACCTAAATTGCACATTTTTATTGAAAACCAGATTATGGGTCATTGTCTATAAGGAACCACAAATGTAGAATGTAGAGAAGCCAAGCACAGAATCTCAGAATTGTGTCTGGGTTATATACTCTCTCTTTACTTTTTGAAGACAGTTTCAGTTTGTTCCTTTGAATGAGCCAGTCCACGGGAATTTGTATAACTGGAGTCAGGATCATACAATGTCATTATATACTGTAATTTGATTTCATATATCATTAGGACTACCACTTTTGTGTTTCATCTTCATCAAAATGATTTTTCTGATTTTTAGTACTATACAACTTTATAGAGTTTACCCTTATTGAAAAAGTCCTGGGACAGTTTTTTTCCCCAACCAAATTGATTGTGTTAGCTACATTCTCTTAGAGGAGCTCCCAGGCGAATTGAGGGTATCATTTATAGAAGCAGGAGCAGAGAGTAAAACCCACAGAAAGGAGTTTATCTTCAGTTTTTCCATTAAGCATCTAAATGGAAATACCAAGATCAAGTTGTAAAATTGGGCACCAGCACTATTTAGATGGGATAAGAATTCAGGGTGTGGAAGAGGAAGAGAAGACTGCCAAGATCCATCCTAGTTATTAAAACTAGGGGCCAAGAGACAGGATCTGTGGGAAGGGAAGCAAGAAAAGAAGCAGACAAGAGCAAGGTAAGAAAAAAAAATGTTGAAAGGAAAAAAGGAATAATGAGCTGTCTAGGATGGGATCAGCTCAGATGAGAACAGGAGTGGCCATTGGCATTGGACACCCAGAAGTTTCAGTTGACCTTGACAAAAGTGGTATCACAAGGAAGAGATACATCCTAGGGTATAGAGCCCTTTCTGGCTTCTTCGTACCATAGCACCACCCACCCCCAGCAGGACAGATTTCCCTTGATTATCTCAAGCATGTCAAGACTGCCTTTGATTCACATTCATTTATGGCTCCTCAGATTTAAGGGAGCTCTTTGGAACAAAAGGAATCATCTCACTGAGGAGAGTTGTGATGAATAAAATTAACTCCATCTCCTTCAAGCCTATTCTTTAATTAGTGGTTCATTCACATGACTCAGACCCCCTAGTACCAACTCAGCAGCCATGTGAATGCAATTTCTTGGGATTGGCTTCTCCAGCCCCAGCTGAGTCATCAGAAGATGGCAGCCCAGCTGATGCATTGACTGCAGCCTCCTGAGAGATCCTAGGCCACACTGCCCAGCTGGGTTGATCCCAAATCCTGGCCCACCAAATCTGTGAAGTAACATTTATTATTACTTTAAGCCAGGAAAGTTTTGAGGTAATGTTACACAGCAATAGATAACTAATGCAACAGGTTTTCATATTCTTTTTCTGGATCTAAAAGCAAAAAGTCCCTGCTTGTTTTAAAGTTAGTATTTTAGTTGAGGCTTAAAACATACCCTAAGAACAGTACTGAAAGAATTTTTTCAACACCTCCCAAATGTAGTCTGTAACAGCAGTCTGTCTTGAGCTGGGAAACAGGAATGTCTAGGACATATGTCAAAGTCCTGCAGTTCTCTAGTATGTATGTTAGTCAGATTTTCAATGCTGTGACAAATACCTGAGAAAAATAACAAAGGAGGAAAGATTTATTTTGCTCACAGTTTCAGAGGTTTCAGTGCAAGGTTGGCTGGCTCCATTGCTTTATGCCTATGTCAAGGCAGAAAAATCATGGTGGAAGAGCATGGTGGAAGAAACCTGCTCACCTTATGGCACCCAAGAAGCACAGAGAGAGCCCCAGGGACTCACCTCGCTCAATTAGGGCCCAATTCCCAGTAAGCCCATGGAACCATGAATTCATCAGTGGATGAGTCCATTGATGAGATTAGAGTGCTTGAAATACAATCACTTCCCAAAAGTCCATTGGTTGGAAACCAAGCCTTCGATACAGTGAGCCTTCTGAGGATTTCTTTATATTTAAGCCATAGCACTTCACAAGTGGTGGCGTTGTTTGGAGAAGCAGATGCTCAGCCAGGGAGTGCGATTCCCACTCCTTCCCCTTTAGCGTACATACACACTACCTACGTGAGTTCTGGCTAGTGGAACGTGGGCAGAAGTGATGTGCACCCCACATACAAGGCCCTGACTTTCTAGAGAAGGTTCAAAGCAGGACAGCCAGGATGCCAAATGAGGAAGTCTTCCATGAGGAAGCAGAAAAGGGAGGGAGATGTTTGGCTCAGAGACGTGGAAGGGAAGCAGGAGAGGTATCTTCAAAAGATGTTTGAAAGAGGAAGAACTGATTTATTCTATGTCACTCCACAGAGAACAAACCAGAACTATAAATGAAAGTTCAAAAGAAGGACAAAGGAACAAGTGTTTAAACTCTCAGAGTTGTCCAGTGTGGGACAGGATGCTGAGTCAGGAGTGAGCCTCTCACACCCGAGGTGAGCGGGCTGAGGGAGGATGGTTGTCACTTTAGGATGCTGGATGGGCTTTTGCCCTTGCAAGATGTTTGGCCTGAAAGGCTCCCCAGCCTGGAGCTATCTGTATCTAGGACTCTACAACGTGCAGCATCCTATGGCAGGAACATTTCACATACTGCTCTGCAAAGTCTGGATTACTAAGAAGCAGTCATCCAGACATTCATCTAATAGGTTTTTGTGCAGCATGTCATTGTCCAGTGTGTTTTGAAAGCTTGTTATGACCACACAGAATCCACAAGTTACAAGATGAGGCCTCCAGCTTCCTCTCTACCAATGTACTTGATGGGGAGACAGTACAACCCACCCCTGGGGCTAAGAGTTGATTCTGCTTATCTCCCATGTGGAGGGACATATTTATTCTGGAAATAATCTCTAGTGTGCAGGCATTTTAGGCTCAAGTAGCAGAAATAATATAGGCTGGATGTATGTATTTTGGGCACGGGTTCGGGCAATGGTTGACATTTGCTTTTTATGTGTTGTCTATCTTCTTTCATGCTTCTCCATTGGGAAATTATCCTTATTAGCATGGAAATAAAGGGGAGATGTATTTGTGATGCTCAGAAGTTTATAATAAGCAGGCCGATTGTTGGGATGTGCTTTAGGAGCTTGCTTATTAACCTCCCCAGAGAGCACCCTGCAGTATTTGGAGGGAGGCCAGAGACCTTGCAACCTGCGTGGTCCTCCTTGCTAAGAACCTAGTTTGACAGTTGCTATCACAGTTGCAGAAAAACAGAAGTTTCACTTTTAGCCCACTAGCTAAAGAAAAACAAGTTGTTCCTGAAAGATTCCCCCACAGGGATGAGAATTCTGGTATCAAATTTAGGAAAATGCAAAATTTCTATTGAGACAAAGAAAACTAAAAGCAGACCACTGGGGAGTCCTTTAGATAAACCCAAACTTTCAGAAGCAGAAGCTTTTACATTTAGTTTCTCGATCTTTCTTCCTGAGGAGCAGACAGAGGGAAATTATCAGATTGTGTTCATTCTGATGCACCCCAAACACCTGATTTACCACCTCATTTGTGAAGGTCAAGTGCTTCCCAGGTCAGCTGCCCAGGCTCCCATTGTGATCAGAGCAGGAGGCAGAGGTTGGACTCCCGCAGGGACACTGAGTTATGGCATTATTGAGCCCTTGGGAGCCCCAACCTCAAGTTATCTGTCTTCTCAGAGCACTGCCCACCAGCAGTGTTTAAATACTCCAAGCAAAGGAGGAGTTCACACAGGAGATGGGGCTGAGCACTAAATTCAACGTGGCCAAGTAGGGGGCTGGCTTTCCTGGAAGCAACTAAAGCTAGACATGTCCTGGGTCATCCAGGGCCCTGAAGAGTGGGTTCTAGTAACATGGCCTGTACAGAGCGCATCTAGTGGATACCTTAACACTGGCCATACAGGTGGACAGAGCTCTCTTCTCTTTATGATCTCTCCCCATATGGTGCTGAGCTTTCAAGCTGTCAGGCTGAATTGTGTCCCCCCAAATTCATATGTTGAAGTCCTACCTCCAAGTACCTCAGTATGCAACTGGATTTGGAGACAGAGCCATGAAAGGGGTAATTAATGCAAAATGGAATTGCTAAGATAGGTCCTAATCCAGGACACCCAGTGTCCTGAGACACTCAGGGAGAAGATGGCCATCTGCCTACTCAGAAGAAACCAACATTACTAATGTTTTTATTTCTAACTTCTAGCT